CTCAACATAATATACAAAGACCAGTTATAGTTTGGTCCGACAAACATGAATCGAGGCTGCAATTTCATTTAGTTAAAACCTTAGCAGACCTGCAAATAATGCTTATATTGATCCCACCAAACTGTACCCATTTCATGCAGCCTTTGGACGTAGGATTGTTTGGCCCTATGAAAAATGAATGGGCTAAGTGTGTGAATAGGTTCAGGGCTGCCAACCCAAATGAATACGTTACCAAAGAGTCCTTTGCAGGAATGTTCCTGCCAGTGTACACAAGGGTCATGAGTAGAGAGAAAATAGTAAAATCCTTTAAAAAATGTGGCATACAGCCATTTGATCAAGACGCTCCTGATTATACCAAGCTCACTCTTGAAGAAGCCCACTCCGGAGACAGTCGAATATTTGAAGGAGTGCTTCAAGACGGTCGTGTTGAAGCTTCCACTCAAGTTGAAAATTTTTTTCATGTCAATGTTGCGACACAGACATCCTCTGACATCATCTTGTCTGGTAACACAAGTACTAGCACGATGGAAGGACTGGGAGCAGGCCCAAACATTCACCTGTAAGTGATAGCTAGGTATTAGTGTCTAACATTTGTATCAATATAAAATAATAAGCCCAGCTAGCTAGTTAGTAGCTGTTATAAACCAATTTTTATTTATAGCTGTTACAGGGTAATAAAAGTTAGTAACAATTATAAACTAATTTTTATCTATATTACAGGGTAATAAAAGTTAGTAACTATTATAAAACAATTCTTATTTATATTACAGGATAACAAAATCATTTGATGACTTTGTCATCGATTCGCCACGATTTGATTCACTCAGAATGGTGAAGAGGCAAAATTGGTTCCAATATGTCTTTGATCGAAATCATCGGCAAGAGGATGCACCAGCTGTTGATTCCCTTGTTGTTTCCCCTGTTCATTCACCTAGTATTCATTCTAGTTCAGATGCACAGTGTTCCTCAATATCAGCCCCTCCAAACAGGACTAGGCCTATGTTGGTAGAACCTCAAAGACAAGCAAGACCACCTGCGATTAGTCCTGCTCTTAAAAATCATAAGTGGTTCCCTTCTCCAAAAAAAGTTATCGGTTAGTGTATTAACTAGGCTACCTATATTTTAAATTTATTATTATAATTTCCATTTTTAATTTCTGTAAAATTACCACATGTAGCCTATGGTCATAAATTTACTTTACTATTACAACCTGATTATTATTTTAATTTTCATAGGAAAGGTTCGTACAGTGGCTCAAGAACTTTATGCCACATCTGTAGTGACTTCAGATAAAGTTGTCTCGATGCTAGAAGGTATTAGGCTTGAAAAAAAAAACAAGAACAAGCAAAAGAGGAGAGAAAAACGAAGCGCTTAGTTGCTGAATTAGCTAAACGCAACAAGCCAAGTGTTCCAGCTAAAAGAAAGTTGCTGCCAGCAACAAAAATGGCAAAGAAGAAACCAAAAAAATTTTCCATTACATAAAAAAATTATTCAACAATTATTTAAATATATTTTTAATACCAAATAACTAAAAAAAAGAACTCATTTTTTAAAAAGTCTGAGGGTGGCGAACACTGGAACAGGTTCAAAAAATTGCCTGGCGAACACGGGGACTGTTCCAGTGTCCGCCACTTTCAACTTTCGGGGGCTATAGCCTCCTTATTAATTATCGAAGGTCATTCGTTCTAAGTACAGCGTATAGCCCAACTATCCATCTGTACGATAAATATTTAAGATCAATCATTTATTGAAAAACGAGTGAGAAAAAAATATTTTAGTGGGGCAGGGTAGAAAAAAGTGGCGAATACTGGGTGTTTTACCCTAGTTATTGTTTAGAAGAATTTTTTCCTCTCAAAATTTAGGTAATACAGTTACTACAATAACTTTTTTGGCACAAAAAAAAAAATTATTTTTTATGTATGATACTGTCACCATTTTCTGTTAAAATTTTTTTTTGGTTGTTAACTTTTTAGATTAATTTAGTTTTAGTTATTATAATAGAAATTGAAAAACACGTTCCCTATATAGAAAGTACCATGATGGATTTCCAAAATCTTTTTGAATCGGCCTCCATATTTAGTTAAACGTTGTATGAAATTAATAAATGAAATACAAAGTGCAGGTTTATATAATTGTGATAGTTATAAATCTTATAAATAATTTTCTGAAAATACATCAAAGCAGTTAATAATTTTACTTTTAGTTGTATTGTTTGATACAACTCCGAGTAACACTGGATGGAGCAGAGTGAATTACTGAGAGATGGAGAGGCAAACCACTATTTTAGCTAGCATGTAAACACTATATTATCGAACTCCATGCTAAAGAAATAGTAAAAGCGACAAGCAAAGTTACAAAAAGGCTTTTAGATAATACATTCAAAACGTTACACGGTTGTACAGTTTCAGAGATGGATTTACAAGTAATCAGAGATATAAAAAAATGAAAAATTAAAAGACCTGATAATGTCCAAGCAAGCGTTAGAGTTATGAAATAATATCATTGGTATCATGACCGGAGAACATTTGTTTTCTGCATAGCTTACAAGGAGCTACCAACTTGCATAGCTTACAAGGCTAACACCAAGAACATTCCAAATTTTTTTACTTTCATATGTATAACGAAAAGAATCTTTACAAAAAAAAGTTACTGTGATAGAAGAATGGGAACAAGAAACCCTAAACTCCTAGCCCCCCTCCAACCCCAAACGTGGGAGCAACAAAATGATGAAATATTTTTTGTACTATTTTCAACTTGACTTATATTCATCGAGAAATTTTAAATTTCATACTAAAATAATTTAGTGTTCAAAAATAATGACCATATAAAATTTGCAACCCCCTCAAATTGAGGTAGGTTTAAGCTTTATATGGTCATAAATTTTGAACACTAAAATATTTTAGTAAGAAATTTAAAATTTCTCGATGAAATAAGTCAAGTTAAAAATAGTACAAAAAATATTTCATCAATTTGTTGCTCTCACGTTTGGGATAGGGAGAGTTAAGATTTTAGGGTTTCATGTTCCCATTCTCCTATCGTAGTAATTTTTTTTTTTTAATAAATTTTTTCATCATACATATAAAAGTGAAAAAAATTAGAATATTCTTGTTGTTTATAAGTTTCAAACATTTAAAAACCTTCCTACGCCACTGCAGGAAAGTATTATTACTTCCATCATATAAATAATAAAAAGTTGTTGATATGGATATTTGTTTTGGCTAATTTATCCAGTAATTCAAACACACACACATACATATGTATACATATATATATATATATATATATATATATATATATATATATATATATATATATATATATATATATATATATATATATATATATATATATATATATATATATATATATATATATATATATATATATATATATATATATATATATATATATATATATGTATATATATATATATATTTATATATATATATATATATATATATATATATATATCAAGTATGTTAAAATATTCTACAAAAAGACTGTTTAATGTTCTCAAAGAACACAACAGTGATAAAGTAAAAAAAGAACAGCTTTAAGGAGATATTGGCAGAAGATGAAAAGGTGTTTTTTTTTTGATAATATATATATATATATATATATATATATATATATATATATATATATATATATATATATATATATATATATATATATATATATATATATATATATATATATATATATACATATTTGTAAAAACTTTTTTCAAAACTAGGCACGTGTAAATTGTTTTGAAGTGTAAGGTATTTCTTTGCCAAATAAAATAATGATTTGTGTTAAGAAGTTTAAAAATGCCTTTTCTTGACACTCCAAGATTCTTGTGTTTGTTGTTATTCTTAAGGTTTTTGTGAACAGTTTACTTTTATTAAAATTCTTGTAAATATTAAAGTTGCTTTATTAGAAATTATTTCAGAGACAAATATTTTAATCCTTGACAAAACAAACTAAATGAATACTCTAATTCATTGTTTCAACCATTTTTTTAAAAAGGATAACATTAGCCGTTACTTAATGATAAATGTATCTTGTTGATACTTTCTAAAGTTATAATTGAAATGAGGGATGAACCAAATTAATATTTATTAATTAAGTTTATCCTTCATTTAATAAAAGCTGTTGTTGAATAAATATATTTAACGTTTATTTTATGAGAATTTAAAAAATTATCTTAAAAAATACTAATCTATTCAATATCGTTATATTGCATGTATGTACAATATATACGGGTATTGTTGTAATTCTTTTGCATGTTACCTTGTGTGAGCACTTTATAAAAAAATCTTCACCTCTATATTTTTAAAAATAATCTCAAACACCAACAGAATTTTCTTTAAACATTATTACTAAGAGCTGAAAATGTGAAATTTATTTTTAAGTTATTTATAATTTTTATATTTATGTTTACAAAATATTTGATTAAAGATATTCAAGAAAAATTCGAATCAAATAATATACTCGTATACTTATTACTTCTTTTTATAGTATTCAAAAAAGTTTGAATTAAATAATATATAATTATATACAACGTTATATAGAATACTATATATAACACTAAACATAATAATATAGACGTATATTAATTACTATCTTTTAGTTCAAACGTATCGCTCAACGTCTTTTTTTTAGTCACGAGCATAGCGCAAAAAAAAATATTTTAAATTCAATATAACATCAACATAAGTGACATGACTGAGAACATTTAGTGCTTGCATGCAATGCATGTTATCAGTCAATTCTCAACATTTCAAATCACGCATCATAGCAATTTTTTTAACAGTTTTTTTTTTACCAATTACAATTATTTTCTAAAAATGGATGCTATTTATAATTATATAGTTATTTTAAACAACAAAAAAAAACCAGCAAAGATTTTTTCAAGCCTAAATCAACCCGTATCAGAAGAAAGAATAAAATTGACAAACAAAGAATATAAGAAACTTATTTAAGAACGATACGACAAATTTAAAATAAAGTTTTACTTTTTTGTTTTTGACACTGCCATAAAACCGGTTGAAGAAAGATTAAATTTGATGCAACATTTAGTTCTTTGTTTCTTTTATGATGTTTCAAGTGAGCAGATTGTAACTAGCAAAAAGAATTCATGGAACATTGCTCGAATCTTAAGAAAGCATTGCAACATGAAGAAAAAGTACTTAACTAAAATTCTCTTTTAGAAGAGTTGCAAAGTGTAAAGTGTTACTGGATATACTAAACCTTGTATTGAAAACTGATAAAAAATATTGTGAAATAATCGAAAATATTGTGAAATAATTAAAAATATTGTCGTAAACACTGTTATAGCTCTGAGAATTGTTTCAATACTTTTAGTTTTTGTGGTTGGTATTACGCCTCTCTAAATTCAAACTGATAAAAAAATTTTTCCAAACGTCTATGCTAAAAGAAAGAATTGCTAAACTTGCTGCTTTTAATTGAATTTGATATTGCAAGAAACATTGAACATGATATTGCAAGCCAATGAAACTAGTTTATACATTAGCGAAATCAAAAGCGCATAAAAATAAGTTTTGAAATTACACTGTATTATACGACTATACATAGATTCTATTGAGTGTAGGTACAAATTAAACAAGCAACAACATAAAATAACTTTCATATTTCAGATTATATTAATTTAATAGGTAAATAACAAGGGTGCGAGGGGAGAGAAAAAGAAGTGCGACAGGTTCGTCTAATGTGCCAAACACTCTAGCGCTGGCCCTGGTCACAATTGTATTATTAATTATAATTTGTAATTTATTCATACCAAGTTTATGTTTTGCAAATTGCTTATTGTAACGATCTTATTTACAAGGTTTCTATTGTTACCAAATGTAAAAAATGTCAAAAACATTGGGTGTGCTTATCACCGAAAGTACAAAACTTTATGTTGAATAATAGGTTGCGGCTTTCCAAAGTCACATCATTTTGGGTACTTGTTGAACGTTTTAAAAGCATTTATTTGTATTGCAAAATACTCATTTATAATAAATAAATATAAACTTATCTAGATACACAGAAAATGCTCTACATATTCAAGAAAGTACTGTTACTTCCATCATATAAACAATAATAAAAAATACTTTGATAAAAATTGAATTAATTTATGATTATTACATAACTTAAAAATTTTGCTTAAAAAAGTTGCTATGGATATTTGTTCGCACACATTTATCCAATAATCCAAAAAAAAATCTATATAAGTTATATTACGTGCGTAATAACACCTAGAAGTTAATTAAAAAAAATATTATTCCATTTCCAAAATTTGGTTATAAAACATTTTTGCGTTAAATAGCAAAATATATACAATTTTACAATTTAAAAAAAAAAAAAAGTAATTTTCAAATATTATTCACAATTCACTCACAAACACACACTCTCTCACACACATATTTATTTATAAATTAGGCACATCAGAGTAAGTTTCATCTTTGCCAAATAAAATAATGATTTGTGTTAAGAAGTTTAAAAAATACCTTTTCTTGACACTCTAAGATTCTTGTGTTTGTTGTTATTCTTAAGGTTTTTGTGAACAGTTTACTTTTAATAAATTCTTGTAAATATTAAATTAGCTTTATTAGAAATTATTACAGAGACAAATATTTTAACCCTTGACAAAACAAACTAAATGAATACTCTAAATAACAGGATAACATTAGTCATTATTTATTGATAAATGTATCTTGTTGATACTTTCTAAAGTTATAATTGAAATGGGGGATGAATCTAATTAACAAACATTTACTAAGTTTATCCTCCATTTAATAAAAGCTGCTGTTGAATAAATATATTTAATGTTTATTTCATGAGAATTTAAAAAATTATCTTACTCAATACTGATCTATTCAATTTAATTAATTTGTTTTGTAAATGAATTTTCGTTATCTGTTAACGCCGCATTATTCATATTGAAAACTATAATTGAACTTGAAAAATAAAACAAGCACACCTGTATCATGGAGGAACTCTAATGAATAAATAAATATTTGATTTATTATATGAGTATAAAAATTATATCAACTAAATATTTTAAACTTTAAATAAGTAATTTGATACGTTGTTTTTTTTAAATTGTTAAAAGAAATTTTAATATATTTTTTCAAGGTTAAACGCCGAAAACTTGGAGTATTTAACATTCCTAGTTTTTTAATGAGAACTTGAAGTAGTTCTTGAAGAAGCAAATGATTTTCTCAAATATCAAAATAGATATATATTTATAGAGCTGTGTTCTATTTAATTAGATATAACACAGCTCTTTGTCGCTTTAAGAATAACCGATATTTATAAAAGAGATCAAATTATATTTAAATAAAAAATACGACTTTTTTTAAGTGGTACTCAAGTTTCATGCCATTTGGCAATCATTCACCCATTTATTTCTGAATATAGGGCTAAATGATTGCCGAATGGCATAAAACTTATAGTGTTTTTTCATTTAAATACCTAATATATATATATATATATATATATATATATATATATATATATATATATATATATATATATATATATATATATATATATATATATATATATATTTATATATATATATATATATATATATATATATATATATATATATATATATATATATGTATATATAGATATATATACGTATGTATAAATATATATATATATATATATATATATATATATATATATATACATATTTATAAATATATATATATATATATATATATATATATATATATATATATATATATATATATATATATATATATATATATATATATATATATATATATATATGTATGTATATATACATATATACAAACATACATACACACACACACATATATATATATATACATATATATATATATATATATATATATATATATATAAATGTATGTACATATTTATATACATATATATATATATATATATATATATATATATATATATATATATATATATATATATATATATATATATATATATATATATATATATATGTATATATATATATATATATATATATGTATAGATAGAAAGATAAATATATATTTTTTAACCTGACTTTAGTATCATTATCATGATATGCCATAGATGTTTATTAAGAAATACACTTACCATTAGATTTAGTATTAACATTGCCGGTTCATTACTTTACTGCATAGAAGTAAACTAGAAGTAGAAATGTTAAAAAAAAAAAGGCTTGCACTAATTATTGTCATTGCATTTTAAAACTTTTGTGAGTTGTAATTTAATTTATTGATTTCATCTTCTCTAAAACTAGTTTTAATTGGTACTTTATGTGTGTTTAACATAAGATCTATTTCACAAGTTGAATTATTTGAGTAATTTGAAAAAAGTTTGTTTCTGAAACGGCATGTTTTTCAGTTGAAATAAAATACTAAAAATTGCGATAAGGCTGCATTATTAGCTACTGCAATTCTAGAGAATTTGACTTAACTGTATATCGCATATCGTAAGTTTAATAAATATCTATTCTCGGGCTTATTTTAAGTATTAAAGTTGTTAGTCCTTCAGTTTAGGCGGCTTAAACAACCTTGCTTCGAAAACACTGGCGGAAAAGTTTCATAAAAAAAATAAAGCCAAAGAAAAACAAATGGATTTAATGGATTTAATGGATTTCAATTTAATTGTTTTTCTATTCAAATTTTTAAAATCTGATTGTTAAAAAAAATTTACTGATTAGAAAGTTAAATTTTAAAATTTTAATGAGTATTTTTTTAAAAGAATGAAATGTAAACAAATTTATATGCAGTTTATGGGAAAACACACTTTTAACTTTAAAGGGCACAAGCGAGAAACTTGAACTTCACAAACACGTTTATTCGCATCCGTGAGAAAAATGCAACCAAAAATATAAAATCTTAATTTAATATAATGCGAATGGCAATCTTATACAAAAAGTATGCTTATTAAGGAAAATTTTACTAGAGCTTGTGCAAATCTGAGACTGTTCGTGATGTTTCGCAGCATCTAATCAAAATGAAACTATTCGATTTAATACCAAAACTAGCAACTGTCTGTGTTTTCTATATCACAATTTTTTGAATTGGTTAAACTGACTATCAAAAATAAGTAAGCTATATTTATGAAAAATGTTTTTGCTTATAAAGAATCACGTATCAGTAAATTCACTCAGTCAAATATTACTTCGGAAATGTTAATTATATGTGATAATGGTTGTGTTATTGCTCTTGTGTGCAATGTATGAAGTCATTTGTGGACAAATGATATACTTAAAGCTAACTCTTGAAATTTAAAAGTAGTTAAAAACTCATTCTATGCTTTATAATATTTTTGTAAAATAACGGTAAAAAATAAAATAACGGTAAATAAATAAAATAACGGTAAAAAATATTTGCGCAGTAAGATATTTTTTTTGGGCTTCTGCGATATAAACAAGCATACTATTTACGTGGATTGAACTTTTCTTCCGAAATGAAGGAGTAAGACAAAAAACACTTTTTGTAAATTACAATATAACATTTATGAAAAAAAAAAAAATTATATGTTCTTAGAGAAAAAATATCGCATTTAACTCAACTTTTAACATTCTGAAAAGTATTCTAAATTTAAAGTTTGTATTCAAAAGGCAAAGGTACTTAAAAAAGTCTTACTCTATTACAAGCTGTTAATTATGATCCCAAGTTATTGCACAGAATTGAGCAAATTTTACGTATAATAAACACTTATATAACAAACACAAAACATTTACACAAAAAGATTATATTGTAAACGTGTTAGTTGTCAACTTCACTCAATTAATGCTTGAAAACAAGCAAATCTTCAACAAAAGATTTATAATCATAGGCAGGTGCATTATTTTGTGTTGTTGATATAAAAATCAACAGCACAAGATGATGTACAAGTTAGCAACATTAATCATAAATATATAGCAAGGTACTCCAAAAAACTTTAGTATATTAAAGGAAGCTCCTTGAAAACCCAGCATTTTTATTTTATATCCTATATGACTTATTTATGGAAAGAATGTTTTTTAGAAAAATGTGCCAAATATATTAATATACAATTAACTCTTTTGTAACTAAGATGAATAGAAATTGCTAGAATTAGCAGAAACTAATATGCATTTGTATTAAAAAGTAAATGCATTCTTTC